TTTTTTTTTTTTTTTTTTTTTTTTTTTGCCTGGGTCTTTCTATGTAGTTCTGGCCAGATTCAACTTCCTAAATTGACCTGGTAGACACAAATTTGGAATCTTTTGGCCTCATCCTCCAAGTGCTAGGATTATTGGTGTGTGCCACCATGCCCAGCCACGTGTAAGGTTTTGTGTGGACTTGTTTCATTCCTCTTAGGTATATGCTTCAGAGTAAAATTCCAGGGTCTTACGAACACTGTGTCTAATCTAAAGAGTCACTCTGAAGGTGAAATTTGGTAATTTCAAAACCTTCCATTTGGGGCTGGTGAGATGGCTCAGTGGTCTAAAGCACCTACTTAGAACAAGCTTAGCAAAGCACAGGGTCGGCGGTTCAATCCCCCAGCACCACATGCCAGCCAGCCCTGACCCCTGGTGGGCTGGGCTGGCCACACACACACACACACACACATAAATAAATAAAATAAATTTAAAAAAAAAAAACCTTCCATTTATTCCATGTTCCTCACACACACATTACTTTCTTCCCTCCACCCTAGGACATCTGAGCAGCTCCTCCATTCTGCTCTTGCCCTGCCTTGCTGTCATGGCCAGTCCTCACACACTGGTAGGGCCTTCCTCTATGACCTAGGGTCAGTGCATGCCCCTCTGTAAGGCACACAGCCTTTGGAGGGTCACTTGCCTCTGCTCTCTGGTTGTGCCTCTGCTGCCCCCAAATGGAAATCATCAAGTTTCTTCTACTCAACAACGTCCCTTAAACACCCTTAAAGATACATGGCCCCTCATGGAGGGCATCTAGACTCCAGTTGGAGTAAGACGGCCAGGCATAGGGTGGATCTATCCACTTATCTTGGCCTGGCCCTCAGACACCAATGTAGCCAGTATTAGGGGAGTTGGGCAGGGAGGAGGGAAGACTTGGGGGAGGAGAGAAGGTGAGCATCTTAGGCTGCCAGTCCAGAGTGAGGGATGGGGTAAGTTTAGAGAGGGAGTTCTGGGCAGCCAAGTCATGGTGAGAGGGAGGACCAGGCTGGCCTCACAGGTTAGCACTATTCCTGAGCTCCCTTCACAACTATAATCATTTCATTGTGAGTGACTTTCTTTTCTTTTTCTTTCTTTGTTTATTTCTTTCTTTCTTTTT